AAACACACTCATCTCTCTCCATACCAAACACCTTTCCTCTCCACTGTGCCAAGGCCCCAGGGTTCCTGGCCAAACAGGCTCTGCTCTGGGTCCCCTCCTGTCTCCCTCTCTTCCCTAGCCTGTGCAAACTCTTCTCTGGTCACCAAGGATGGGAGAACAATCAGAAGTGGTATTTATAGTCCATACCTCATCGTGGGATAAAATGGAAGGTCCCCTCGTGGATCAATAACTTGTTAAAAGACAGGAACTAGAGGGTTTGAATAAATGGTTATTAGGAGAGGGACAGATAAGAAGACAGAAGATTTCATAATGCCACTTTATAAATCCTTAGTATGTCCACATCATGAATACTGAGTGACAGGGCCAGCTCACACATTTGGCACTTGAGGCAGGGAGCTCAAATGGCGCCTCCAATGCCCCCTTGCTTGGGCCAAAACTTTGAAAGGTCTCAATTTTGCCTTCTTCCTGTTCTACTCCTCTCATGGTACTGCTCTGCTACCTACATATGCACTAGCAGCAGACAATTTTCTACACTCTGGGTCGTAGTGCCCTCCCCCCCCACACACACACACAGTCTGCCACCTGAGGAGGCCACCTCAATTTGCCTCATGGTAGGGCCAGCCCTGATCCCAGCCAGAGTTTTGTCAAGCCAAGACTTAAAAACTCTAGGGATGGAGATTCCACCACCTCCCTAAGGAACTCATTCCAGTGCTTCACCACCCTACTAGGGAAATAGTTTTTCCTAATATCCAACCTAGACCTGTGTCACTGAGACCAGCCTCTCTCCATCCTCTTTGGAACCTCCCTTTGGGTAGTTAAAGGCTGCTAACAAATCCCCCTCACTCTTGTCTTCTGCAGACTAAATAAGCCGAAATCCCTCAGCCTCTCCTCATAAGTCATGTGCTGTTGTCATGCAGTGGTGGGGAGTCACTGGGCCCTGCACCCCCATCCGCAGCCAGACATGACACTCAGACAGCAGGTAGAACAAAAGGTTTATTAGCTCACAGAGACACAGCCTAGCACAGACTTGTCAGCACAGGAGCCAGGAGCAGTCAGTACTATCATTCTTGGAAAGAGACGGGGTCAGAGTCAGGGCCCTGGGCCTCCTCCCTATATCCTAAGCCATCCCGTATCCACTCACTCACACACTCCACAACCCATCCCAGCCCTGCAGGCAGCCCCGTCTCCTCCCTTGTCCAGCTTCCCGAGGGAAAAAGCGTTACCGGATGTACCTTCAATCTAGACTCAGATTACTAGAGATCCTGTGCCTTTGTATATGAGCTGGGCTGGGCTGGGTAGCCTGGGGCAGTCCTCCCATAGTGGGAGTCACACCCAAAACTCCCATCCCCAGCCAGGCACTGATGGAGTGCCAAGAGAAACTCAGGCACACTCACACAGAGTTACAACAGAACAGTACAGGACAGTAGAAATGACATGAAACATAGAAGAGCGAAAAGAGTTAATACAATCCCCACTTTGTCGCTGCAGCCCGCTAATCATTTTTGTTGACCTCTGCTGGATTCGCCAATGTGTCCACCTCCTTTCTATAGTGGGGGATCCAGACCTTGATGCAATGCTCCAAATGAAGCCTCACCAGAGCCGCATAAAGGGGAATAATCACTTCTCTAGATCTGCTGGCAATGCTCCTCCTAATGCAACCTAATATGCCATTAGCCTTCTTGGCTACAAGGGCACACTGTTGACTCATATCCAGCTTCTCATGCACTGTAACCCCCAGGTTCTTTTCTGCAGAACTTCTACTTAGCCAGTTTGTCCCCAGCCTGTACCAATGCTTGGGATTCTTCTGTCCCAAGTGCAGGACTCTACACTTCTCCTTGTTGAACTTTATCAGATTTCTTTCAGCCCAATCCTCCAATTTGTCTAGGTCACTCTGGACCCTATCTCTGCCCTCCAGCATATCTACCTCTCCCCCTAACTTAGTGTCATCTGTGAATTTGCTGAGGGTGCAATCCATCCCCTCATCTAGGTCATTAATAAAGATGTTGAACAAAACTGGCCCTAGAACTGATCCTTGGGGCATTCTGCTTGATACTGACCACCGACTAGACATCAAACCATTGATCACTAACCATTGAGCCTGAACTAGCCAACTTTCTGTCCACCTTACAGTCCACTGATCCAATCCATACATCTTTAAATTGCTAGCAAGAATACTGTGGGAGACCCTATCAAAAGCTTTGCTAAAGTCAAAGTACATCATGTCCACTAACTTCCCCATGTCCACAGGGCCAGTTACTACATTTTTGAAGATAAGCAAGTTGGCCAGGCATGACTTGCCCTTGGTGAATCCATTCCTGATCACTTTCCTGTCTTCCACATGCTTCAAAATGGATTCCTTGAGAATCCCCTTCATGATTTTCCCAGGGACTGAGGTGAGGCTGACAGGTCTGTAATTCCCTGGAGTGTCCTTCTTCCCTTTTTTAAAGATGGGCACTACATTTGCCTTTTTCCAATCATCTAGGACCTCTCCCTGATCACCACAGGTTTTCAAAGATAATGACCAATAACTGTGCAGTCATATCAGCCAACTCCTTCACCTCAGCACCCTCAGATGCATTAGATCTGGCCCAATGAATTTGTCTATGACCAACTTTTCTAAATAGTTATTAACCTATTCTTTCTCCACCCAGGGCATCCCACCTCCTTTCCATACTGTGCTATATAATGCAGCAGTCTGGGAGCTGACCTTGTCCGTGAAGACAGAGGCAGAAAAAGCATTGAATACTTCAGCTTTTCCCACATCATCTGTCACTGAGTTACCTCCCTCATGCAGTAAGGGTCCTACACCCTCTCTGATCAGCCTCTTCTTGCTAACATGCCTGTAGAAACCTTTCTTGTTACCTTTCACATTCCTTGCTAGCTGCAATTCCAATTGCGCTTTGGTCTTCCTGAGTACAACCCCACATGCTTGAGCAATATATTTATACTCCTCCCTGGTCATCTGTCCAAGCTTCCACTTCTCATAAGTTTCTAAGGTGACAGGTTGGATCACAGAAGTCCCCTTGGGGTTGCACCTCAGGGCGCTGATCAAGCAACTGAGACCTGCCTTCCTGCTCTCTGGAGCTACCCACCACCTTGTGCTGTTGGGCCAGAAACTCTGGTCTTCCCCAGCAAAGGCACAGAGTTGGGGTCACTGCCCATCTGCTGATCAACACAGACACTGAACCAGTTCAGCTTTGAGAGGACACAGCTATAATAATGCTGATAGCACCCAGGAAACGAATCCCAAAAAGGGGTCAAAACCCCAAATAAATCCATCTTATCCTGTGTAAAAGTTTTACACAAAGAAAGCTCATAAAGATGTGCACCTCCTTATCAATGAAAAGGAGAGCAGCACAGCAGTTGCTGCCCCCAGCAAGTAACAATTATTTATGCTGTGCTTGATAGTAAACAAAAATATTTTATTAAGTACAAAAAGTAGGGTTTCAGTGACAGACAGTTCAATGTAAGTTACTAAGCCAAAATAAACAAAACATGCCTGCTAGTTCTAATATACTAAGAAACTTGTTACATGTAAATTCTTACCTTAAATAATTGTTCTTATCTCAATCCAGAGTTGATCTTTTTCTGATCTGGGCCTAG